TTCTGAGCGGAGGAGGCAGACAGCGCGATGCCATTATAGCACGTCAGAAAGGGCTCGACGAGAACGACACCACCAGTTGGAGCTTAAAGTCGCAAATTGGAACATACCGTCACTCAGAGAAGAGCAAGAATTAGTTGATAAGGCCATAAAATACCAACTCGATATTGTTGGACTCTCGTCAACAAAACGTCCAGACTCTGGACTCCTGAACCTCAATGGATGGAAGCCCTTCTACTGAGGCGTCGATATCACGACTCGCGCTCAGGCCGGCGTTGTCGTTCTGGTAGAACCCAACCTTGCCGATAGAATTATCGATAGGAAGCCTGTCAGCGGAAGGGTGGTAATCCACCGACTGAAGCTACAACAGGCTAAATCGATAACCTTGGTACAGGTCTATGCGCCCAATTTGGAAGAAGAATATGATACCTTCCATGAGGCAGTGCAGTGTACTCTGTCCGAAGTGCCGAATACAGAGTCCCTTATACTGATGGGCGATTTTAATGCGCACGTCGGAGTAGGCGCTGAAAAGTGGAACAGCGTGATTGGGAAAAACGGCCCTAGCGACCTGAAAAATAACGGCATGAAGTTGTTGCGGTTGTGTGGAAACAACGGATTGTCTATTATGAACACATTCTTCGAGCATCGAAAAGTGCTTCAGTAAACCTGGTACCGGGAAGCAAGTGCACAGAAGTCGATGATCGACTTGATAATCGTATCGTCTGACCTAAGACGCTCGGTAATAGATGTTCGCGCTAAGAGAGGCACAGAGCTATCAACCGATCATCACCTTGTTGTTGGCACGCTGCGCTGTAAGAAATGGAGCACCATACGAAGGCCTGGTGACAGAAGCAACCGGAGAATCAAATGGGAAACATTATCTTCGGTGGACACGAGAGCGAAATTTGCAAACAACGTTGCACGACGGTTCGAACAGATGCCAGCGATGACAACTGATGTTGAAACCGAGTGTCAGTTGTTTAAGAGAGGCCTACTCAAAGCTGCCGCCGAATGCTGCGGATATAATTGGTTGGCCTGCCGCCTGGATGTCAGGAAAGATGTTCATGGTGGACACGAGAGGTACCACTGGCAGTTAAAGAGAAAAAAACAGCATTCAAGAAATAGCTTGGAAACCAGGAGCCATTTACTCACGTGCGATATGTCATGTCACGCAAGGCGGCAGCCATAGCGGTGGCAAGAGCCAAAGCTGATTTCTGGGAGAATTTCGTTGAGGTGGTGGAATCGAATTTCCACAGGATAAAGAAAGTATTCTGGCAGACCATCCGTTGGCTAAGAGGTGAAAAAAGGGCAGTCTCAGAGTCTTGAAGGACAGATCTGGGTGACACCCTTTTACTAAGGATGATGACATTCTTCGGAGATGAAGGGAATACTTTGAGGAACCGCAGGAAAACTCGCCTGTAGAGCAGAAGGGTATGGATATTACTATCTCTGAAGATGAAATTGCACAAGCTGTGAAAAGCTTGAAAAATGGAAAAGCTGCTGGAATTGACGAAATTCGCCCTGAGATGCTCAAGGCATTAGGCGAACAAAGCATGTGCCGGCTAACACTGTCAAACATGTGCCGGCTAACATCTGTCAAACTGCGATGACTGCGGGAAAGACATCAGCGGACTGGAGAACGGGAGTTATTGTACCCGTATTCAGGAAGGGAGACCATAGGGAATGCTCCAATTATAGGGGCATAACGTTATTGATCCTCCCAGGTAAAGTCTACGGAAAGGAGGTGCGGTGAAATAGTTGACCTCAAGATCCGAGAAGAGCAGTGTGGCTTCCGGGCCGGTCGAAGCACCTCTGACGATATATTTGCCCTGCGCCATATTGTTGAGAAATCGTGGGCGTACGCTGATGCGGTGTACATGTGTTTTGTGGACCTAGAAAGAAAGCCTCTTGATAACGGTGTTAAACTGTTCGATGGTCTTTGGGTCTACTCGAGCAAGTTGCGCGTCCATGAATCTCATGATAATCCTC